CATGCCAGGTTTTATCCTCCACTGCCTTGCAAGTCCCCAAGTTCTTCCTGATCTTAAACTTCATGAGCTTCATGGGATAACTTTCTCCTTCCTCCTTCCTCCCTTCCTTTCGTCTCTCCTGCACTTTTCTCCAATGCCCTTTCTCCTGTACATATCCTTCCTTCATATGCCTTTGTGAACATTCATTGCTCCATGTTCCATTGCTACACTTTCCAATCTGAAATTGCACTGACCTGTTGCAATACTAAAACATCAGCTGTATATGTGAAAAATCTTTTGATACACGTTTGTCCTAATGTTATGCATCTTCGCACAACTATTTTGCCTCATTTGGACATTGTGCTATTTCTTCTATTGCCTACCTCCTCTTTATACTTTGAATTATTTGCTTTCCCCATTATATATCAATCAGGAAGTAAAAAAAAAAACATAATGGATGAAGGGAAACAATAAGTGTCTGGCATGAGTGAGGAAAAAATCATGCATCACTGAGAAATTGGATAACCACATTCCCCATCACAAACCTCTTTTAAAAAGGAGTCTGAATGTTGACCACTAGGTGTCAGGGCTATTATCCTCCAATACTGGGGTAGGATGTGCTTTTGCACTTTCCAAAACAGCCAGAGTCTTGAAGGAAAGTGCAAAATGTAGAAGATCTAGAGGACAGTCAAGGCAAAAAAAGAGGAGGAGAAGAAGATTGATGTGGGTGGGGGGTAAATCTTGCCACCCCTGTTCAGTGAGCGTTGCCTTCCTTGACAGCTCACCTTTTGACAGCTGTCAAAAAAGGCAACCTTTTATGAATACCCCATATGGAGCCTCCCTGGCCGGCACTTTGACACCAGGTACCCCTCAGGGCATTGCCCACTGACCTTTCCTGTTTTCATACCTGCAGAACCGCATGCCCCATAAATTTACTATTGAAATATTTGCATATATTATGGGCACAATTTTAAAAAGTGATCAGCCACTTGCAACCCCTTCAATGTGCCACTTGGGGATCTGTGATTGTTGCACTTCATTTTACAAGTAGTATTATGATCATTGGCCACAGAAGAGTACAACTGAGAAAGCAAAATGCGAAGCTGATTTATTTTGCTCCCCACTTGGGGACTATTAAATGAAGTCTCTGAAGAGCTCACCTGATCAGGCCACACCACCTCAGGCAGCCAGGATAAGGTCTGTCATACCACTCAGGCAACCTGATGGCTTGAACATTTTCATGGAACTGTGGCATGTTCTCAATGAAAATGAAAAACTGGGTCACAACAGAGAATAAACACAGAGGCATTTGGAAAATTGTGTTTTAACTTTAAAACTTGGATTTACAGCTAAGACCCTCTCACTAGCACCCTTACTCTTGCTATCCAAAAAGTAACATCTGATGAAAAACGTCTGGCTAAGGAGAGGCTAACAATTTGGGGGAAATAGTCAATGTTAGGTAAACAAGGAAAACCCTGAGGTTAGCTGCTCTAGAGAGATGCTCTGAAAGATTTTAGCTGCACTGAGCAATATGGTAGAGTATGCATGCATTTGGATGCGAGAGACCTAAGATCAAATCCCAGCTTGGGTGTGAAACCTATGGAGTAACATCAGACCAGTGGGCCAACTTGCCTCACAGCAGCACTGGGAGATCATCTATGCCAGGGGTACAAAACCTCAGATTTCGGGGCTACCTTCCACCCAACCCAGCATCACAGGTGGTTTCTCCATTTTTCTGCAATATTTTCCCATTCCAAAAGCTTGAAATGCCTCTTCTAAGACTCAATTGTTATCACTTACAGTGTTAAGCTAAAGTACACAAGTAATTTCTTTATTTTGGCCACACCCCTTTGGACTTTGGCTCTAACCCCTGAGCCTTCTCCTTTCAGAGCTTTTCTAAAAGGGGATTTGGACCTCTGCATCCCAGTCTACACTGCCCCTAAATCCTTTTGGGGAAGGTGGAATATATACACATTCAATCAAAAAAGGATTCATCCACCTTTTCTTTTTTTAAGGTACCAGCAATAAAACATTAGTGGAAGTTTCACAACTTTAGCTCAAGATTCCATTTTAATATCTGTGCATCTCTTCAGCCTGCAGGAAGAACAGCTTTACATACACTGTTGTCAGGGACTAGGGGATTTTACAACATATTTAAAAGGGAATGGCATCCCACGCCTTAAGAATGAACAAGAGTCCAAGGCTGTCCTCTGTATTACTGTTTGTGTTCTTCTTGGTGTTCATTTAATCTTGCCTGAATTCTAGTCTGATTTCAAATGCATTCATTGTAAAGTAGCCTTGGGTATTTTCTGCAGAAACACAATAAAAATATTACAAATCATACCTAAATATGTTCTGCACAAAGGGAATTGTACTTTCCCCCTGAGGGTCCCTGATTCCCGCTGCCCCCATTCAGAGTATCAAGGATTAGCAGCATGTTTTAAGCAGAAAACGAAACATGGGCGAAAGATCTGTGAAGTGTCTCCAAGTTGCTTTATTTTTACTTTCTTGTGGCTGGTGGCTGGTGGAGGCTGCAAATGTTAGAGGGAAGGGTATGCAAAAGGGGTGCTTTTTTTCCATACAGGTTTGTGTCTTGTGTGCACAATAAAGAATTCCCATGACTGTGCACATTATGCCGTGTATAAAATATGCTCACACATCTCTTTCTAAAAAGCAAAACAACAGCAGCCAGCTCTAGAAGTCACAGGGTTAAACAAGAAAAGGAATAAGGTTCATTTCTGCAGCAAGGATACTCCTCTTTGATATAGGTTCTCTAATGGCGAGTGGCTTCACATCAGTTCCATAATCTAATTTGGGGCAGCATCCAATGCAGCCTGAGCCTTAATGAAAATTGTGTTGCCCTCGCAGAAGGGACCTGCAGAACATGGTGCCAAAATGTTAGCTGGTACAATGAGTTCTCCAGAGAATCCTGTCATACCAGCTAATGCTATTGATGTTGCAGCACTGGTCTGTTTTGGTAGGCACAGTGCAATTCCATTAGCACCTGTGTCACAGTAACTGGAGTCTTCAACAAAAACTCTGCTGATTTTTATAGTTTATGAAGGTACCCAAACAAGCGCCACAGAATGCTAAAATAACCTTACATTGACATAAATGGCTGAGTTGGTCCAGCCAGGGACATCTATAAAACAGAAGAAAAGACCTACGGGGCCCAACCAGAACTATGATGAACTGGTTTGAGAGCAAGAAAATGTCCGATTTCCTCAGCTCACTCCCTGGATCCTGGCATGCTTTCTCTCTTCCCTAGGTCTGCCTTGCACCCAGGACATTCTTGGACATCTGGCCAGGAGCAAGTCCAAGTGAGCCCATGAGGCTACCTTTGCTTCCTTCTGGGCTTGGCAAATGTTGTGCAAAGGGTTGTGTACTTTATGTACTTTGTGCAGAGAAGGAGTCCACTAGTGTTCCCAAGTATCCATGGACTTGATCTCAGCTCAGCTCACTTCCTGGCCAGGGCTGAGCATGGGAGAGAAGTCTAGGAAACACAAGAGAACTGGATTCTGGCCAGCTCTCAGCATCTTTGACCAGAGGTCCATCCAGAACAGCATGCTGTTCCCTACAATGTCCAGCCAGATGCCATCGGGAAGGGCATGTTTGGAGCACAAAGACAACAGCTTCTCACATGGTCTGTCCTAAGCAACCAGTATGCAGACATTCGCTGCCTCTGAACAAGGCTTAGCTCCCATGGCTCATGGACATTGATGGACCAGTCTTCCGTGATATTCCCCATTGCCACTATGAAGCTGCTTGTACAAGTTCTGGGACTGCAAGTGAGATTTCCGCACATGGAGATGATGCAGACCCTCACCCCGAAAATTGATGGGACCTCTTTTGATGACAATACTGATGTGCGACCAGTTCCAGAGCTACCAGAAGTTACAGCTGCCCAAATCTGATATAATGAACCCCACCCCAGAAGCACAAATCATGGGTTGTGTCCAATCTTAGTCCTACTTGGAGTAGACCTATTGGAATGAATGGGATTTAAGTTGGATTGATAACAACCCTCTATTTTAAGGAGCTGATTCGCTTCTTTCTCTTTCTGTCTGCTTATGTCATACACTATGCTGTACTTAATGAGCTATTCTGAGATAAAACAGTCATTAGCATAAGTGAGATATTTTCCCATTTTGTTTTTAAAGACCAACAAATCCTTTTTGCCTTACCAGTGCTACCAGTGGCCAGCAGTTTCAGGTCAGAATGCAAAAATTATCCTATTCTCAAAGTGAAAAATAATAATAATTGAACTCAGTTCACTTTAGAACCTTTATCAGGACAATCAGTAGAGAATTTAAATTATGAAATCTTCAAAGAGTAAAACCATCTTTAAAAATACAAACATTGATACAAAAAGAAGGAACAACAAAAATATCGTTGTAAACTGCCACTATGAAGATGTTGGTTCAATAAAAGGTTTTTTTTTTTTTTCCATTGGCACCTTGAGAATACATTCTCTTTTTGCATTCTTTCCTGTTTGGGAGTTTCCTTTCTGTTCTTTGTCAATAGTTTCAGGTCCCATTTCTGGAGATTTCCCAATCCATTTTTTTAAAACAAAGAAAGACAACAACAAACTACAAGGGGAACAAGTTTTGTGATAAAGTCCTAAAGCAGCCTGGCAAGCTAAATTACAATTGGACCTCTACAAAGAGTCCTTGGACACATATTGATAGTTCATACACATATGATTGTTCTATAAGCATCGCAGTTGCATCCATTGATTCCCTGCTTTATAAATCATAAATCACAGGTAGACAGCTGAAAGAGGTATGGAATTTGCTTTGGAAGTGAAAGCACTACATATTTCTTCCTAATCTAAGAATAACCCTGCAGGACTGGATGTTTCCATCACCACTTTCTTACAAAGTTTCACGGTGTGTGCTTGGTGTCGCACACTGACTCTGGTGGAGCACCAACACCTGCTGTCCACATGGGTGGGGTAATTCTGTCCATCCGCCTATGTTTATCTTACACCTGCCTAATATGGGATTATGCTTGGAGATGGGCTAATAGAGATCAGCGCTATTTCTGTGCTCAGGCTTCTGCCTGGCGGCCTTCTCTTTGTCCTCAGATGGCTTCATCTTTCTCTTGCCGTCGCTGGAGTCTCTGCAGCACAGACCCTCCTCGCTGCCTGTTGGCAAGCTGTCAAATGTGTTCTCCTTGTTGCCTTCCTTCAGGTTTTGCCCTTTCCGGGCCTTGTGGCGGAGGTCAGCACATCTCTCCATGCACGTAAACCGGGTCTCGGTGGTGCATGCGTACATCCCAGCAGGGACAGCCAAGACCATGGCGCACACGATGATGATGATGTGGATGAGCTTCTCCCTCTGCTCCAGCTCACTGATGTCACTTCCAGTGACAAACACGATGCATTGCCCCTTTTGAGGCATCTGGTTCCTCAGAGTAATGCACACTTCGTACTTGGTGGCAGGAAGCAGGTCATTGACAGAATAGCTGTTGATGCCGGGCCCAATGTAGATCATGTCTTTCTTGGTGTCATCGTATTTCCCAAAATGGAGGGTGTACCAGGTATCTGCTGGGTTCTCAGTCATGCTATACCACTCCAGAGTTATCCCATAGACTGTCTGCTTGGCGATCCTCACATCAATGTATGGATTCTCCATGGAGATGGAGGAAGAAAAGGAAGAAGCCACCACTCGGGGGGCTTGGACTTTCAGCATCACTGTGGAGGAGGTGTTACCCAGGAAGTTGGCTGCCTTGCAGGAGTAATTCCCCTCATCCACAAGATGGGCTGACGGAATCACCAATTCTGACTTAAGTGTATCTTCACTAATATGGATGGTGGACACTAGGGGAAAAACAACCAAGAGCAAGCATGTTAAATTCTACTTTTCAGCTAAAGCAATACTTGAGCATCTCATTGTTTTGCTATTTATAGCACTATCAGAATCATAGAAACATTTTTTAATTGTAGAGATGTCCACATCTTTGAGGTTTTAATGACACTTCCCTTGAAATTCCCCAAATGTTTTGCCAAAGCAGGAACCCCCAAATACAGAAAAGCCAATATATAAACCAATAAGCCTGAGGTATACTTAAGCTGTGTCTACCTGCAAGTAAACCCTTTGAACCAAGCAGACCTTACTTCTCAACAGATAGGTATGCAATTGTAGTATTAAATCGGTTTTCATCTTGTGGTAGCCCTTTCTTTTTTGATCTCTCTGGGTCCAATGCATGCAGATGGCGCTAGTTATTAAAGCAGCAGAAGAAAAAAAGGTGTAGTGTTTTGCTATCGATGCAAATCATAAGCAAATCATACGCAGATTCAGATGCATCCTTTCCTCATTGATCGGGCATGAAGAAGACTTCAGAGTCTCAGTTCCACCTTTCGCACCTGTGCATCACTGTCTGACTTGGAGGGGACTGTTTTCAGCAAAGCTTACTGGGTTGAATCCAGACTTGGTCATAGCTCACAGTAGATCCATTGAAATCAGTGAATCATGATTTTCTTAAGGCCCCTTGATTTTAATGGGTCAACTCTAAGTACAGCTAAATATGGATCCAATCCAATAAAAAGTAAATTAAAACCTTCTCTCTCTAAGTCAGTCATCAGCAACGAAGTGCCCACCAGATGTTTCAGATTGCAACTTTTGGTATTGGCAACACTGAGTGAGAACTGGAGGGCACTAGTTTGGCTTGTATTGGTTCTGTTTCTATTTATTATCTTTCTTCTTCAATTTAATTTAAAATTTTGGGTCTTGGCAGGGGAGCAGTTACTTTAGTTTAACCTGTTTTATCAGTCCTTTCTAAATGATACAGATTCTCCTGAATCCAATTAATGATTAGTCCATTAAGAAAGAAACAATTTGTGGGATTGCTTGAAATAATCCATGTAGGTCTTGCTTTTAATGGGACAGTTCTGAATCAGTGAGGTCTGAAGACCTCTTAATCAACACGAAGGGTCCTAAAAGTCTCCATAAACCTGAGCACTTTCTGGGCTGGATGGACCATTCTCTATTACCATTAGATCTCTTCCCACTACTTGCAGACAGGTGAGGTGATGGTGGAGAAGATACTGTCCAGGCTAGGAGGGACACAAGATGGTACCTCAGATATTCTTACATGTGCAGTGTACACAATCTTCTGTTGATCATGGACTTACAGCATGCACACATTTTGAGAATAAAGACTAAATCTTATGAAGAACATAGATTTGTTGATGCTCATGGAAATCCTAAGACATCTTTGACAGTCATTGAGACTGGAGATAATTTGGCAGCCTTTTTCCTCGCATATCAAAGCCTAGTATCTCATTCAAAAATGATACACTTCTGAACTTTCTTCTCTAGTGTCAATGAGGTGTTTAAGTCAACAGGGAAACAGTAATTCATACTGGTTGACAACTGATCCAATAATACTAAAGTCAGATGGGGCTCTTCACTACAAGACTGAGATTTTCCTTCCCTCTCAATAAGGTCTATGGATCAAATCCAAGTTATTGGTTCTAGCTACAACTTTTTCCCATAGTAGTTCAAAACTCTGGGAAAATATGAGGTCCTGTGTTATTTATTTTGTATTGCATGAGTGTTTCTATGCATTGATAACCCAGGAATTAGCTCAACCCATTTCATTTGTAATAATTATCCTCAGGCCAGCCTAAGAACATTTAATGGCATAAGAATCTGTTCAAGATTTAGGAGCAATTTTTTTTATTTTTACAATTTTATAGGATTGTGGAAATAGAATAAAAAATGGGAAAAGTGGGGGAGAAATTAAGGAGCAATGCTCACTTGAACTTTTTAACAGCATTGTAATTCCTGACTCACCGATGTGTCAACTAACCCCAGCACAAACTGCCTTCATTGTGCTGTTTCTTTCACTATATCCCAGATTCCTTCAGACCAGGGATGGCAACACTCCCTGGTGTGCCATGATTTTTCCTGGATGTGCATGTCTGTACGCGTGCATGGTGAGCTCGTGGCACTGCTCTAGGGCTGTGAGGTGTGGACTGGAACTGACAAAACAGATGAAGTTGCTCAGTGGGGCTTTGTCTAAAAGGCAGCAACTCTGAGTAGGAGAATCGTCCATGTCTTTCCTGCTTGCTTTGCAGCACCCTGTGGCTTCTCTCTCTCTCTTTCGGACTTGCCCAGTGTTCTGGAGAATATATGTAGTGCTCCTTCCCCTGCCCTGCCTTCCCTTCCTATTTGAAAACATAGTTTGCAACATTGCTTCAAGCTTGAGATGCATGTCTACTCTGAACTAAGTCACAATGGCTTTACTTAAAAATAAGTTATATTAACTTTAATGGAGAGAATGCATGGAGAACACTGGGGATTCTGATTCCACTGGCTTCACCATACGGCCAATGGGATCAAAGTAGCTACACAGCCTTCCTTCTCTCCCCACACCTCCTTCCCCTCCATGCTTGGGGAGGGCAAGGGAAGCTGTCAATTACCATTTTTCCCTTTAAAAACTTCTCTGCTCCTTCACCCAAGCAGAAATCTGAAAGATGCTTCCTGGAGCCAAATTGTGAAGAAAGGCCTGTGTAGGCTCTGTCCATTTTGGCAAATGGCCTGAAAAACACTTTGCCTGGGGAAGCTGCAGAAATGCCCTGAAAGTGTCCAATTTAGCTCAGGCTCTGCCCAGTCTGACACACATCCACATTAAATAGTTGCCTTACAGTACAACTTACCATTAAATCCTCGCAAGTGTTTTAGGGTATAAGTCCACCAGACTGCTGGGGGTGGACTGGCCTGGACCAAGCAAGTCAAGGTCGCATTTAGTCCAACTAAGACTGTCACGTTAGGCTCAACGGATGATACTAGGGGCTTCATGCAGCTATTCAGCTCCACTTCATGGAAGTATTTTCCCACCCAAACTTTGGGACTGGAGCAGGTTAAGTAGGAATTCATCAGAATGATGGGAGGGCTAACAGACTTGACAAACTGGACAAACCCTCGCAGGCGACAGTCACATAGCCATGGGTTGCCGTGCAAAGCCAAGACAGCATTGGAAATAGCTTCCACCTTCTTCTCCAGCTGCTGGGTTTTTTGGTACACTGGCCAGTTATAGAAGACATCCTTGGAGATGACAGTAAGCTGATTGGAAGATAGGTCTAAGTAGGTCAGGTTAGACAGATAACGGAGGGCATGTTCTGGAAGGACGTCAAGCCGGTTGTGCTTCAGATCCAGTATGTTCAAAGCCGGAGTGTCTTGGAATGCTGTCCATGGTACTGAACTCAATTTGTTCCCTTGCAGCCTCAGCTCAGTCAAATCCTTCAGGTATTCGAGACTTTTTAAATGCATGACGGTGATGTTATTAAAATTAAGCCAGAGATATTCCAAGGTACTCACATTAGAGAATGACCCACGATGCAATTCAGTTAGGTGAGAGTTTTCTATTCTAATCTTTTTTATATCTTCAGGGATGCCTTCTGGAATCTTTCTCAAAGATGTGGACATGCAAAGCAAACTCCTGGAATGGAAATTAATCAAGTTAATGCATATACTTTTGGGGAGGGAGGTGATAGCCCATTCAGTGTTGTTGTTGGTTTAATTCAGAGTATGGACGGTGCCAGTTAACGACTGCAAAGTGGACTTTTCTTTCTGCAGGCACTGTAACAATGAATTTGATTCATTTTCATCTGCCTAGTCATAAAACCCAAATGAAAGCACATTAAAAAGGTTATTAGCATAATATCCAAAACTATTACAGGAAACTAGTCATCCCCTAAGATTAAAAATCACTTAAAATCAAATATATATTTTTGAAAAAACGCTAGAGGTACTTGACACCATCTGGCTACCACCTAGCTAGTTGGAAACAATTCAAGCATGCTTCGTAGCACTATGCATACTTATTCAGAAGTAAACTATGTCCTCCTTACTCTAGGTTGCACTCACAGATGCCAGCCTGTGATTACTCCTTAGTTATGACTAATTTATGTCCCGTTTATTTCATGATAGACTTTGGCTGAATGGTGCCTTTGCTCTGATCCTGTTTAGTTTAATGAGAAGACTGCCCAGGAAGGTCGCTTTCTTCCCCTATTGTGCTGCCACTATGTCTTACCTTCCAAAGTTATCATTGGAACAGGAGCATCCTGGAACACAAGAGAGACTTGCCAGGTTGGCCTCATCAAAGAAAAGAAGGAACAGAAAGAGGAATGTGTAACAAACGAGGTCCATATTCTACTGGAAGTAAACACCACACAGGATTCACAGCAGACATCACAACAGCCTCCAAGTAGCAAAGCCTATTAAGATTAATCTCCCTAGACATAAGGATAGCTACTTGTGAAGGCAGGGCCAGATCTTAAGGGCTTGTGCGCATGTTCATCCGCACTTTGTTATTCCAATAAGTGTTCCAGTTAGTGCAGCTTAGGAGATTGTCTGTAAGCAAAGGCTTGCTTTCATTCAGGGTGCAAAGCGAGACTGTGCTAAAGAAAACTGAAATATGCCTCTAAGATGCTGCGGTTCCCAATCACATCACCACAAACTCTTTATATTTTATTTATTTTGATTTCTTGATAAACTTTAGATTTGCCTTTTCACCGAAGGTGAATTGCAATTAAAAAAGGCCTCTTCAGCATCCATTCTCTGTCCACCTCTGTTCCTCTATAACATGGGGAAAATGGCGTGGATGTATTATGTAAATAGCATCTGTGTGTGTGTGTGTGTGTGTGTGTGTGTGTGTGTGTGTGTGTGTGTATACATACATATATACACACATATATAATATTATAATTATAATAATAATATGCTGACGATGACGATGACGTAACCATCAATGTGATGCAGCTATATAGAGCACTTCCATCCAATTTATTTTCACTATTGTCTAGACTTGTTCAGAACCCTCCTTACCTGCCCACCTGAAAAGAATAAAATGCAACTAATTAAAAGCCTACATTACAGCAATTTGAAATTGCAATAAAGCAATAGTAAAAAATAAATAAATCTCTGTCTTATTCCCAAGCCTCTGGTAGAGCAGAAGAGTTTTCATCTTCTTCTGAGAAGAGATTGTGGGAATCCAGACTTCTCAGGTGGACAACATTCAGAATAGGACCATTGAGGTGGGAGCCCAATCAGTCAAGTAGAGGAAGGTTTCTGGATGGAGGCCTCATCCAGAAACCCATTAGGAGACTTAAAACCATTAGGAGACTTAAACCCATTAGAAGACTCATATGGACCTCCCTAAGATATGCAGGGCCCAGACCACATAAAGTGTTTTCAAACCAGTTTCTTGAAATGAACCCTGAAAGATACTCACAACCCACATGGGCTTGCTGAGTGACAGCTGTCACCTGTTCATGGGCAGATGCTGCCATAATTGTCAAAGTAGCTGCAAGGGGGGACTCATGAATAGTGCATTATGGGATCCTACTCTGGAAGACATTAAGGAATTATCATTATTAATTAACTAGTGCATTAATTTCTTTACTGCCCAATAGTGGAAGCTCTCTGGGTGGATTACAACAATATATATGAATGACAGTAGCTCAGTTTTACTAATGGAAAACTAGCTGGAAATCTAGCTGGAGTTGGTGAAAAGCAGTCCAAGTCACACCATCTCTCTTTGCCTGCCTTGAACTTCAGTTTTTTGCCCTCATTCCATCAAGGGAAGGAACTGCCTCACTTTAATCTGATGAAAGGGAGAAACATTGCTGAGTGTCATCAGCAAGGTTATGGCTCTTCCACCCACATCCTTAGGCAACTCCTCCCATACCTTAGTTCCATCTCAATGTCTCAATGTTAAAAATCGGGGCGGGGGGGGGGGGGAAGCATGCTGAAGAATTCAAGAGGACAGTTCCCATAGGATACAACAAATGCTTCGCAGTCCAACTGCAACTACCTTCTATTTTCCAGCTCCAAACCAGGCAGGTAATCCAGGTTATTATGGTTGAAAGATACCAAGATGGCCAACAGGAGGTCCAGGAAATCACCAAGGTCATACTGCCTAGGTAGGGCTGAGTGAGAGGTGCAGTCCGACAGCAACTCATGGTCACACGTTGTCCACCTCTACGCAATTCCATGCCCAAAAGTCAGCAACTGCTTCAGTGCTTTTACCAGGCAAATCACATGAAGCTTGCAATAATGCATGAGCCATCCCTAAGATGTCAATCCCAAATTTCTGAGCAAGCAGCAACACTATTCCATCCTTCTCATAAATGAAACTCTTAACGTAAATATTCATTCCAGGATGAATTTCCTGAATGTTGATGTTATTTGAGTAGAGGTGAACCCATCAGCACTTACCATGCTACTAAAATTCTTTTTATACTATGAACCTCCTCGTCTCATTGGATGGTGAAGGTTACGCCCCAGAAAAAGTATTATGGCATTTTGAAAATGTCAGCACAGGTATAGTACATATCAGTGTGAGAAAGGGGTGTCCTTTGGGTGATATCTAGTGCTAGTAGCTGGTTTCACAGCTCTCCATAAAAATTATGGTGTTTGTTTTGCTTTATAGGTATGTTTTAAACCTTTTTATTTATAGGCATTGTGATTACATAAATATTAAAAATGAATAAAGCATAAATATGATCAAGAATCCAAAACGAAATAATAAAAGCAATCAAAAGACAAAAGCTGACTGCAAGTTGATGGGGAAATGATTAGTTGCATCCCTTTGAAACTATGTCAAAAATGGAAATTCCCCTGAATCTGTTTGCCCTGCATTCTGTCACATTTCAAAGTCAAAATCTGTATTCTTTTGCTGCCACCTCATGTTTGTAGCTGGTGTTGTTGTTTTCAGAACACACTGTGTTGATGGAAAAATGATTAGCTGCATCTCTCCAAAGCTAGGTTGAAAATAGAGATTAGTCTAAACCTGCTTAACCTTAGAAGACCAGGATAGAAAAGGTATTTATAGTGGCATGTTAGATTTATTTTCCCCAACCTTGGCTTGCGTTTGTTGCAAGTAAACAGTGGTCCAAATTTTCAGCCCTTTGAGTCAGAGATGCCTTAGAATCAATAACAGAAGAAGCTGGCATTGGAAGAAACGACATGGCAAATATGTTCCCTTTTCTGGGTATATTCTGGGCAAAAGGTGGCCTTGTAGCACCTACATCAACTATTTGGGCTCTGTGTCATTGGTTAATTATAACAAAGCCCTTTAGGTCATGTACTCAGATGCTCCCAATTCCTGAGTGATTTATGTGAGCATATCCTCCACTTATGCGCTCTGGATACTAACAAGCCTCTTGCATGGGACACACTGCGATATTTATTTGGAAGACTTCTATGCCGCCCCATTCGCCGAAGCCTCAGGGCGGCTCACAATAATATTACAGTGTTGCCCTGCATAACTCCCATGTCATCACTAAGCTGCTCCAAAAATGTGAGTGGAAGTCCACAGATAGAAGGTGGAGGAGGCATAGCAGGGAAGGAAGGGAGAGACCAGGCTAGTGGCACCTCCTAAGATTGTGGGATCTGGCTGAAGACCTCATCCCGAGAACCATGGACCCCTGGAGGATGCCCACTCACTGCCTCCCAGGAAGAATTTAATTAATTCATGAATTAACTAATTCCTATACCACCCAACAGCCAAAGGTGGCAGCAAAGACATTGGTGATGGTATAGATATAGATATCCACAGATTTTGACTCTGAAAATATGGCAAAGAGGAGCACAACCTAACCTCATCTTTCATCCAGAAGGAGAGAGGGACAGGTGGTCTCTCTTCACTCTTCCCTGGCCAATAGAGCATTTTTGAAAATTTGAAACTGAGGACTGATACTGCATTTGTGCTTCCTCTTTTCCCCCTTCTTTCTTCCCAGTCCATTTCCTTTGATATGGTGTCTTTTAGATTCGTCATTAATCTTTGTAAGCTGCTCTGGAAGCCCTTTCCAGCCAAGCAGCAGGGTCAACATGTGGCTGCTAAATTCATAACAGTTGGGATCCCATCCACCCATACATGGGGTTCATGGGTTTGAGATTTATCTATGCATAAATCTCAAATGCCACCCTGCCTCCTTAAAACACAGAGTGCTGGCAATGAAGTGCTGGAAGTTCTTGGAAGGACTGTGTTTCCGTGAACATTCCATGGAAAAATGCCAGTGCCGATGCTCTAAGATACCCCCCTGTATCCGTTGTGCATTGTGCTGCTATTGCTGAGGGGCCTAGAGCAAACAGCAGGCTTGAACCCGGCTCCAGGGGGAAGTTGCTCCAACTTCAGCATGGACGCAATTCCACATGCAGCCCTCTTGATCGTTTTGGCTGCAGGAGCGGCGCCTCAGGAGCCGCAAAGGAGAGATGCTGCTTTCTATTGGACCACATTAAGTGAGGCCAGCTCCACCTTTGCATTGCAGCTGTCCCTCTGCCTGGTGCAAGGAGGCACACAAATGCCATCATGGCTGAGGCTCCTCTTCACAACCACCGGTGACGGGTGCAGCTTTTCTCCTGCTAATGGTGAATTTGCTTTGCTACTTCGATTGTTTGCGGAGTTTCTAGCCAGAAGTGGTACCCATGGGGGTGGGTCACAGACCAGGAGAGGCACGGGAGAAACCACAGCAGTGCAACCAACCCCCTTGCGCCAAGGTATGTGCAATGCTGCTGTCTCTTATGGTGCAGGTGTTAATATAGGTGCTGGTAGGCAACCTGATGCCAAATATCTCTTACTAGAACTCCTGACCATTAGCAGCACTATCAAGAAATGGCAAGAACTGCAGCCCAAAACACCTGGGAAGGCCTACTTATGTCAGCCAGGCTCTGGACATCACCATTAATGTGTTGTATGGACCAACCTATGTACTTGCCTTTGAACTGTGGTGCTGGAGAAGACTCCTAGTAGTCCCGTGGACTGCGAAGAGTTCAAACCAGTCAATCTTAAAGGAAATCATCCCTGACTGATCTTTAGAAGGCCAGATACTGCAGATGAAACTCAAATACTTTGGCCACCTAATGAGAAGGAAGGAGTCCCTGGAGAAGAGCCTAATGCTGGGAACAATTGATGGCAAAAGAAGAAGGGGATGGCAGAGGATGAGGTGGCTGGATGGGGTCACTGGGGCAGTGGGAGTGGGCTTGGGTGGGCTCCGAGGGATGGTGGAGGACAGAAGAGCCTGGAGGGATGTTGTCCATGGGGTCATGATTGGTCGGACTTGACT